AAACTCCTGAATGACATCTGCATCTCCAACAATGGGCCTGACATCCTCTACGGTGCTTTACATCAGAAAGTGCCGCTTACGCTCTGTTTTCATAGGACTACTTAAGCCTGAAAGGATCTTTGTTCCATGACCCCCTGAGCAAACCCAGGTGCTACAGAGAGGAAGGGCATGTCGGTGGCAACGGTCTGGTTCACCCAGTCGAATGTGAGCTCAAAATTCGTCCATGGAGCGCTGATGCAGGATCATTGTTGAGCCACAGTGTAGACGGGGATTTCTCAAAAAAAAGCTACCGGGTTCGAACCCCTCAGAACATGATGACTGCCTTTCTGGCCCTCCCCCCAAAAGGGCGCATAGATCTGAACAACCTCTACTTGCTAGGATCTTTCCAACCCGTACAAGTAGTAAAGGATGAGTTTGATTGTTTGTGCCATCTTGGTTTGGTTTCATACTCAGGGCCGTATTTCGCAGCATTTTCTGAAGCACTTTAGAAGCAGGGCGTTAGCAAAGTTGCACAGCTATCGAGCGTAGCTTACAGTGGCGGATGAGCACCACGATCCGACTCTCCGTAAAAGCTCCTGTAGTTATGATAAAGTAGATCGCACGTAGGTATATATCTATATATATACATATGTATATACATATAGACGCGTACGTTCTTGTGGAATGGGGGTCGATGGTCAACGCATGTTCTTCAGCTCGGCGTCGGCGAACACAAAGGTCCCATGAGTACAACACGAACCAGCATTATTGGGGAGCCGTGTAAAACTCCTGTTGAAACCCACTTTGCTGTTCATGCTCATTTGTCTTCACCTGTTTGTTCTAAACTATTGAGGTTTTAATTATATATCTTCTATATACTATATACTCCCCTGAACCCGGGTTTCATATACGACATACTCCCCTGAACCCAGGTTTCACATCCCTATATATACTTTATACTCCTATAAACCATATACTCCCCTGAACCCAGGAAGGGTCGGCGGGTTGAGGATGTTGCCGCAGATCTGGCAGGCGGCCTGCTGAAGCCATCGGATCTGCCATTGACTGTTGTCAAGTTCCTTACTGAAGTGTATAGGGTTTAGGGTTTAGGGTTTTGAGCTTGAAGGGGCTCTGTGTAGGGGATTATATAGGGGATTACTATAGGGGTTACAAAGGGGGATACTAGGAGTGTAGACTCTGGCTCAATATGAGCTTAAAGGGGGTTATGTCGGGGAATATATAGGGGACTGCTATAATGGCTATTACGGGGGATACTAGCAGCTCAGACCCTAAACCCTGTATGAGGGGTTATTATTGAGGGGGATACTAGGAGTTTAGATTATAGCGCACATCCGTTGCTAAGGGGTCAGGGAACCTATTCACGAAAGGTTAGAATAGATGTATACTGGGCTTATAATGCTGGGATATGGTATTACCCATCACCAGGGTGCCTCAAGGTAGGGCACTACCCTAGCAACGCATTCCCACCATTCCCAACTAAGTATGAGTAAGGTTCAACGATGTTTATTGGACTTTGAACAACCGCTCCTTGTGCCTTGGACTGTCGGGAGATCCTGTTTTAGTCGTTTTCCATTGGGTTTGATTTCGTTGCTTTGCTGCGACCGCCCAGACAGTAGAATGCGTAGAAGCCTCATGATAAGAGTCGAGCAGCCTTGGTAGTGGTCATTCCGCATTCCGCAGACCTACAAGGGCAGCAAAGGTACGCGTTGAACAGTGCTTCCAGGAAGCTCGCAGTTCCACTTGAGGCATCCGTGGCCGCTTTTGATGCCTTGTGCCCCGTGACAGCGAAATTCATCCAGCTGAAGTGCAGCTCATTGGCCAAGGAGAATTCTGCTGAGGCCAGGGCCCGACATTCCTCCTTGGCAGGGGTGATTTTATGAGCAATGCTCAGGGATCGCGAAGAGGGGGTGTTGTGAATCAAGTTGCTTCGGCAACAGGACCGAGAAGCTTCGTCATGTATGTTGAACCCTCAGCGCAACACATCCACCTACGCCACTTACTTACCCCTTGCCCGAAAAATCTCCATGGTCATTTGGGGCAATGGGGTTGCACAGGGTTTGGGGTAGGTGAACACTAGAAGAGAAGAATGTTCAATTACGAGCATGGGATGGTCAATGATGAGTAAGAACACTACTGTAAGAAGGAGACAAACCTCCAACCCCAAACCCAGTGACAATCAAAAGAAAAAAGCACTCTCAGCAGGACGCAGCGGAGGAAAATGGTGCTGAGCAGGACGTGGCCCGGCAGTCATTTTCGCGGTTGGCCCTAGGGTGTGGTTCAATGTTTGCCGGACAATGTGACCTGTTAGCCTTACCACAACCCCGCTAGGGAGGAGGTTGGCTACAGAAGCCCTCAACCCAACATCCGACTGTCACCTTATCGCTCACATTGCTATTGCTGCCGCTATAATTACTTCCGCATCAAGTTACCTGACAAAAGCAGCATAATGCGACTAGCTAGTTTTCCTAGCCTCCCGTTGGACGATGTCGCAACCTTAGGCCTGCATCATGAGCTCCAAGTAGGTACTTGTACTTGACGAGGCAGCAGAAATCCTCACGTGGGTGCATGCCAGAATGAAGGCCCCATTCCAAATGATCCGCACCATATGACCCTTATAATCTTGATATGACCTATAACCCCTGACCTCTAATTCTTAAATCATTTTCCTAAAGCCCTGGCCGCCTTTGAAAAGCCCAACAGGATGGTTCGGCCTCGGAGGCGGGCGGGACCCCACCTCGGAAAGGTTCATGGGAAGCTCTTCGGAGAGTGTAGAGGGATCGTGCCGAGGTATCTGGGGATATACGTATGTACATATACACACACACATATATGTATATAGAAATGTGCTCGCGTCGTTATACAGTAATTGAAAATTTCCTCGCACGCGTGTACCTGTACATGATTAAGCAGTGCATGCTTCATCCCAATGTCCAAGGTCCATTTGTATAGACAGATGGGTGCATATGTGTGTGGCTTGACGCAGGCGGCTAGTAGCTGTATCTTGAAGCCAGTCGCACATTTCCAAGAACAAACTTGGGGTCCCCCGATTTCCCCAAACCATTGTAATCACGCCTATAGAGACTTAAGATAACATACCTTATGTCCACAGTTTTCCAATGGTACGCTGGATAACTCAGCAAAAGCAAAGGGGGTGCTACCCGACTATGAGGCTTTGTGAGCCTAAGCTGCAACTTGGTACCGTCAAATCCCAGGAGCTGACATACTGCGAGCACTACTTTCTGAGGCATCCCTTCGTTCCAACACGCCCATAAAGCTTTTAGGGGATGCCCTTATACCCAAAACTAAGCCCTACAACTCCGAAATGAGAGACTGGCTGCTTGGCAAGGTGGAGGATGAACTACCGGAATATGATGCGGCTGAGGAAGAGATGCTGCAACTTGGAGGTCGTGCAGACCTGACGCAGGATCAGAGGGTGCACAGGGATTAAGGAGGGTTCTATGAGGACTCTATTGCGATGAAACGGATAAGGGCCCTACTATGAGGGGTGTGGGGTTCGGACTTTCAGGTTAGAAGTAGCCGCGCAGGAAATCAGGGAGCTTGGAGAAGTTGTGGTGATGTTTCCTACCGAACGCAGTCCGAAGATGTGTAGTGGTGAAGGAAGGGCTGTGTGTAGAAGCCCCTGGCACCCTATGAGCTTGTGCCGTGCTCGTTAATGAGACAGGTGAGGCCACAAGATGTCTCGAGAGGAGCTCTCCAGGTAAGAAGGACCAACGACCCTCAAATAATGTAAGTGAATGAGCGATGCAGCTCGCACATATCATCATGTCGTGTATGTTTTAATGGGGTCTTGATTCGTTGTTACTGAATTGGTGCTATACAACCTCAACCGGTCACTGCGGGTACCTTCAGCCAAGGATAGAGGCTCCATTAGCTGTTGCTACCTAATTGGGGATTAGGATAAGCCCGCTAACGTTGGTCCTTCTAGTGTAGGAGCCTTCTACTGTAGGAGGACGGTCGGATAACAACACGTTCGAACAGGCCTTGGGCCTTGCGCGCCCATAACTGGCAGAATGATACGGTATCAGACGAACTAGCCGTGAAAGCATAGCATTTGCGACGGCATGTACCTGCAGCTTAGTAGCTTTCAGATGAATCAGAGAATCAGAGGATACGGAGTTCCAAGCTGTAGGTAGAATATGCGACCGGGTTGTTAAGCTTGGGGACCGGACCGGTTTTGAAGGGCTGTGCGCTTTTCATGCGGTCTGCAAAAAAGCAGGCTTGCCTATCGCAGAATCCTAAATCAGACGGAAGTTTGGATGATGATTTTTCCATAGTTTTGCCATCATGTAACTGCCATCTTGAGACAGGGTGACGGGTTGTTCTATTTAGTTTTCAGATGCCAAGAGCGGAGAGACTCTCACACAGCAATCGCTAAGCTTAAGCCCCTGAACGAGCCGGATCTTGCATAAGCTTCTTTCCTGGGCGGTGTGGGAATGAAAGCAGGGACAAGTGCGGGGCATGAGATTCTTGTAGGGAGACTTGGGGGTCAGCAAAGGGAGTAAAACTTCTCCGCACGGTTTCAGATTAAAGGTTGATGGCTTCGGTTCTTGCCTGGAGCTCTATGAATGGGATCGAGAGTTGCTCATGGGAGTGTGGGAGGGCATTGGGGGAGGAAGCTGTTTTTTGTTCCTCTCAAGTTTGGCTCTCCCCACCTTGACCTATTCGCCCGAGCCCATGAATCCTAAGCATTAAGCTTCGCTGGAACCCCCCCATCTTGCTGATTTCGTAGATTTTGCAAGGTCAGCGTCAAGAGCTTACACCTTCTGAATCCTGTGTCTCCAACCCTACGCATGCTAAGCAAGAGGGGAAAATCTTCGCGCATCCCTGTGCCGCCCTGTAGGGCAGATGTCCAACAACTCGCCCATTGTATGAGCATCTGCATGGGACTCCCCAGCTGGCTGGTTGTCGTTTCAATGAGTACTCGTCCAGAATGCCTAAAGGTGGTCCAGCAGTATCCAGTTCCGAATCTTTCCTGCCAGGCTGAAGCCAGCAGTTTGGCCGAAGTGCTAGCATCGCTTGATGCCGAGGATGAGGTGCCTTCAAAGGCTCCGAGCGACAAAGATGCTCTAGGGATAGTCATGTTTAGGCACGATGTAAGGTGGCCAGACAAACCCACAGCAGCAGCACCAGTACAACGATAAGAATAGTACGAACACAAGTAATCAACATGACATCCTAGCTGTTCGAAGTTAAATTGTGGTGCAGGAGCTTTGGCTAGGCGTTCAGCATTTTGACTCAGGGACAGTAGGGCGAAAGAGGAAACATGTCTCTAAGATCTCTGGGTGTTGGCTTTAATTCCTAGCCCCAAAAACCGGATGACGTGGTACCTTTCCAAGAATTCTAAGAAGAATCTTAAACATCTGGCATACCAGACCTAAAGAGGAGTTACATGGAGTTTACCTCGGTAGACCCAACCCCAAAACTTCAAAACCCTGATATGGTTTCTCTGATGAAGCGAGGGGGTGAGTTGGGTGAGGGCAGACTGTCCAATCATGATTGCTGCGTCCGCCCATGCCGGCCTGAAAATTCAAGATTCTGGGCTGTGGCTGCGGAGATGTTTGAATGAAATCGCTGGACATAGAATCCACAGATGGGACTTCCTCCCTTCCTTTTGCAATGTTATACTGCAGCCAAGCCCATGTATAGCTAGTTCGTAGGCCTCATGAACTCATCAAGAGCCAACTGGTATTTTCAGAAGGGTGCCCAACATATACCCCAATATAAAATCCTTGTAGCAAGGATTTCCCCCAAAAGAGGCCCAAGACCTATAATCTAGTAGCTTCCATTTCTTTTCCATTATCCCTATATAACCCTTACATATACCCTATGATATAGTAGCTTCCACTTTCTTTTCCATGATCCCTATATAGAAATCCCAACTCCACAAGCCTTGAGCAGAGGCCCGAGAAGAAGAGCCAGCAGTTAAGTCAGAGCCCGCGAAGAACAGCCGGGATGAGAGCCAGGTCCTTGCCTCAGTCCCTATAAAATCCCCTCCTCTATGAGGCTTAGGGAGGGTTAGGGATTAGTATCCGCCCAATAACCCCTATAATAATCCCCTATATAATCCCTATATAAAGACCCTTTAAGGAGTATAGCGGATCCTATTATACTTTGAGGGTCATGGGGACTTAGCAAGTAGGTTTGTAACCCCTATAAGCTATGATACTTACTAAGTCCCCATGACCCTCCAAGTAATCCCCTCCTCCATTGGGCTTAGGGAGGCTTAGGGGTAGGGCTGAGTGGAGGCAATTAGTAAAACTAGTAGAAGCTGGAATTATGGGTTACCGGTTAATTGGAGAATCACATGAAAAGTGACATGAAATTTGGGATTTTTACGGATTAATCCACTTCCCCTGATAGTGAACGATTCCGTCCCGCTCAACACAAAATTTCCCTGCAGTATGTCATGGTACTGTCTAGAGGAAGGTTCACTATTTTGGAGGCTGTCAGGGGTGCCACATTTCATTACAGTTTGGGATCAGGGGCTGCTGAATGATCCTAACCATTTCCGTTTGGCCAAAGTTCGTGTGATGCTTATAATGCTACAAGGCAGAGGTGAAGCTCTTCAAGATGGCCCCAGCAAGGACTCACACAGCCATGAAATTCCAAGCTCCCTGTGAAGGCAGCTCTAAAAGGGCCTCAGACAACGGCTGTATGCAAAGGCCGAAGTTAATCTCCTGAACTATGGGAGCATCCTTTCTCCTTCGTCTGTTGCTGCATATTGCCTCAAGGTCGATTCGAGCGGGCTCCACATTATGGGTCCAGAAGGCCAGTTCAATTCTGGCATGGGACCTGGGCAGACTTGGGTTTTCTGCGCGAGTCCTGCGGCATGGCCCCTCGCTTTGTATGGAACCACTTCCGTTGCCACCCAAAACGGTATCAACGTCTCATGCTACAGGCTCTGATTAACATTAAGCCGTCTTGAGGTGTTGCAGGGTTCCTTGGCCGGCCTAGTCTGGTAGTAAGACCACTGATATTAGCCGTGGCAGCAGAAGCGACTGTAACGCGAACACGCAGTAGTGTTCGCAAAAGTGAGAAGCGCTGGCATGCAAGAAGATTCAACCCTGAAAGCCTTCACGCAGCATTCGCAATACGGCGTTCGAACAGAGCTTCGGGCATTACCTCTGCAGCTGCCGCTGCAAACCGCTATTGCCATGGTACACTGTTTCTTCCAAGCATGGCGGATCGCGAGCTCGTGGCAGGCTTTGCGGTCCACTCCAGACCGAATGCAGCCCTTCGGCGCCAGGAGGCCTTGAATCAGAGGGGCGCAGGACCGAGCCGTCCCTGCTGTAGAAAAGGTTTATACAGTCAGGATTCACAGGTGTGGGCTAATTAGTGTAGATAAAGGAAGGGTGAGGTCTGAGGTTAAGGGCGTTGAGGGGTTAGGGCTCGTAGCTTGAGCAGGATGGTTTCATGCAAGACATCGTTGCGAAAGCATCCACGATAGCAGCGAAGGCATGAAACTGAGAAACCTGGAGGAAGAAGAGGTGCAGTTCACGAATGGGGCTGCTGATTCCGGGATCCGTACGTCCTAAACCCCAAAGACATGTTGAGGGGTGGTTTCGCATAGTCCGCTGCTGCTAATTTGCAATTGATTCTTCAGTTCTGATGCGGTGTCAAGCCTCACTTCTTTCATGCGAGTTGTGAAGGGTTGTCAGACTGACCGTGAAAGCTAGCTCGGGGTTAGCTGGAGTTGGATGCCATCCGTCAGGACAGACGCGAACCATGGTTCCGCCGCAGAAGGGCTGCGGATCATTTTTCGGCATGCAAAATGTGGAGAGCTGATTGGGGGTGGCATTCCATTGTATCCAAGATCAATGGTTCTTCTAAGTTCTGTATGTTGTTGAGAAATTTTGTGTCCCTAAGCCCGAACGCCTTGCAGGTAGTTGAACAGCAGTAAGAGCAGGAGGCGTTCCCTACCTATTTGGTCCACTCTGAAGAGTGCTCGTTAGTGTTTGTAGGGTTCCAATCACAAAGATTTCGTAATCTCCTGCACCATCTTTGAACTTAAGCCATGGGTGTACCTGTCAGAGCAGTATTCACTTTACTAAATAAGCTTCAAGTGATACCACAAATTTGCGCAGCCCGCTTGCTGTGAAGCTGAAGGCTCATGACCGAGGTTGGGCAACAGAGAAAGAGAGCCATGTGGACCACATCTGAGTATCTGCAGCACCCAGTGCGATACGCAAACTTCAGCTTCTTCTATACACCATTTTCCACCCGATGGTTACTTTCATGTGCTTAGTAGACTTGACATGCCGTGGCGACAAAGCTGAGGAAACTATAGGTGGGAACGTTCCATGTGCTGCACTTGGCAGACGCCTGTTATGTGCAAGGCCAGCGACAACACCGATGCGGGGCAATTACCAGGTACAACAAAAAAGCAAGATGAGCCTGCCGCCCCCTACCACCCCTAGCCAGCAACTGCCCAAAAACCCAAAGCACTACCCAAGCCCTCAAGCCCACAGCCCTCAAACCTGCAAAGACTCATGCAAGAAAACAAGAAAACATGCGTGAGCTGATGCCGGCCGCTGCTTGCTTCCATGGGTCGCAGTTCTTCAAGTGAAGCCTCGTCGAAGGCCTTTGAGTCAGGATCATGGGAAAGTAGAATGGCTTCGAGTTCTTATAGTTGATGGATGAAGCTGTTCACCGGATCTGGTCCCAAACCCTTTTTTTTTAAACGTATTTCAGGGACGGGCACTTGCGAATGCATCTCAAGTAGAGGGAGGCCTGACCACTAGGAAGCTATAGAGGATATGGGTAGTTCCCAAAATTAAGGTCCAATTTTGGTAC